TGGCCGCCGCTGCAGCCGGCGCACCGCGCTGATCCGATGGCAGGAGCCAGGATCCAGGTGCTTCTCCTGGTCTCCCATGGGGTGCAGGGCCCAAGCACTTGGGCCATCCTCCACTGCACTCCCTGGCCACAGCAGAGAGCTGGCCTGGAAGAGAGGCAACTGGGACAGAATCCGGTGCCCCAACCAGGACTAGAACCCGGTGTGCCGGCGCCGCAAGGTGGAGGATTAGCCTATTGAGCCACAGCGCCGGCCGATAGAATCTTTTTAAAAATAGTAACTCCCGTGCTCCCCGCCCCAGCCTCCGACAACCCCCGTCCCACTTTCTGTCACTTTGGACTTGACTGGGGCGCTCGTGGAAATGGACTCTCGATTTCTGTCTTTCTGGGATCGGTTATTTCACTTAGCATCATGTCCATAAGATTTGTCCATGTTGGAGTTTGTGTCAGCATTCCCTTCCTTTTTAAATATTTATTTATTTACTTGAAAGGCAGAGTTAGAGAGAGGGGGGGAGAGGTCTTCCATCCACCAGTTCTCTGCCCAGATGGCCAAAATGGCTGGAGCTGGGCCAGGCTGAAGCCAGGAGCCAGGAACTCTATCCGGGTCTCCCACGTGAGTGCAGGGGCCCAAGCACCTGGACCGTCTGCTGCTGCTTTCCCAGGTGCATTAGCAGGGAGCTGGATCGGAAGTGGAGCAGCTGGGACTTGAACCTGCACCCACTGGGATACTGGCGTCACAGGTGGAGCTTAAGGAGCTGCCCCACAAGGTTGGCCCTGGGGTTTCCTCCCTTTTGAAGCTGGGTGGGTGGGCACCCTGTGGTCACCCATCCCTCATGCGGGGCACTCAGGCTGCTCCCGCCCTTAGGCTGCTGGGAACGTGGACGTGGGCATCTGTTTGAGAACCCGGCTTCCGCCGCTCGTGGGCACTGTCCGGGAGTGGAGCTGCTGGGTCACACACTCACCCTGGGTTTGCGCTAACCCTGGGTCTACACTTGCCACAGTGGCTGCACCACTCTGCATTCCTTCAGGGGCCGTTTGACAGTGAACTTGAATTTGACCTTGAGGAGGGTGGAGGGGTTCAGGTGAGGGGAAAAGCGCTCCGCAGGGGAGGGCGCCGTCTGAATACTGATGAGGAGGCCAGGCCCCGCGGGGGCTTCTGGGGACACGGGTGAGGCAGAGCCGGGAGGTTTGCCTCTGCCTCGCTGGCGCGTGTGAGCCCCAGTTTGGAACAGGGGCCACTGCAGCTTGTGAGCAAGGGGGTGACCCGGCCGGCCGCTCCAGCCCCGGGAAGCCTAAAGGGGCAGCTGGGAGGGAGGCGGGCCACGGCGGGCTATTCTGGGGTCAGGAGCAGGGGTTTAGCAGGCAGGTGGTCAGTGGGCAGGGCAGAGAGGGGACGAAAGGAAGAAACAAGCAGTGGGCACGGAGCCGTCAGTGGGACTGGGGCTACGAAAGGGAAACCAAGTGACACACAGACAGGACCCAGGGGGCGAGGGGGTGAGGCGGCGTCCATGGCACGGGCACGGGCAGGTGGCAGACCCCGCCTTTAACTCTTTTTTTTTTTTTTTTTGTAAGATTTTATTTGATGTGACAGAGAGGGAGAGGAAGAGAGCGAGCGAGATCTTCCATCTGCTGGTTCATTCCCCAGATGGCTGCAACGGCCAGGGCTGGGCCAGGCTGACACCAGGAGCCCGGAACTCCATCAGGGTCTCCGACGTGGGAGCAGGGGCCCAAGCACTCGGTCCGTTTCCCGCTGCCTTCCCAAGAGCATTAACAGAGCCGGACGGGAAGCAGAGGAGCCGGGACTTGAACCAGTGCTCTGACGTGGGGTGCCGATGTCTCTAGGAGCAGCTAACCCACGGCGCTGGTCTCAGTGAAATGCTGATACCTGCTTCATCATGGATTGTTTTCCCATTAGCTTCAGTTTCTTAAAATCTTGCATGAACATACTACTTAACTGGATCACTGAGTTTTGGGTCCCCCCTCAACCTGTGCCCCCAACGTAAGTGCCTCTCCCACCTCACCCTGGCTGCGACCCCACAGGGGGTGGATTCTCTCCATCACCCACGGTGCGCCCACAACTGCCCCAGGACCTGAGGCTCTACCACCAGGTGTCCAGTGTGGCGGGGACAGGTACCCGGCAGGTGGACTCCTCCTGTGCTGGCCTGGTTCAGAGAGACAGACACCCGCCCCAGGCTGGCGTCAGTGAGGAGGGACCAACCACAAGGGCAGTGGCATCCTGCGGGTGTTCGTCCGAGGGCATCGGTCCTGGTGCTGACCCAGCCCGGGTGTCCAGCCCGCTCCGCAGGTCACACGTACCCCTTCTGCGAGTGGCCACTCACTGCACAGAAACCCAAGCTGGGACTGAGCTCACGAAAACACAGCCACGGCCCGCGCGGGAGCCGGACGTCAGCTCGCCCCCTAGAACCTTCTAGAAGGAAGATCCTGCTGAAAGCAAAGCCTGCAGAATGACACTGCACTGTCTTGGGAGAGAATGAGAGAAGCGGGGAGGTGACAGTGGATTCCAATGTCCTGGACGGGGAATGAGGCAGAAAAATTTCCTTTAGCAAACCCTGGCTCAGACCCAGATCAGAGGCAGGACTTCCATGAGGGTCAAAACGAGCCAGGAGTGAGAGCACACATTCCAGCCTGTAGCTGGCAAGACTGGCCAGTGCCGGGACCTCGCCTGCTCTCAGGAGGGCGTTCTGATGATTCCAGGTACCCTGAACCCCCCAAGCCCCCTGCCATAGCTGGGACCGGGGTTGACTGCCCCACCCACGAAACCGCCACACCTCCATCCCAGGGTCGCCGGCAGGGGCAGGGTTAGACACGCATCTCCAGCCATGGTGCGGACAAATCTTTATTATTTCCCCTCATCAACCACCCGCAGAGGGTGTGCGTGGACGGTCCTGGGCTCCAGACACCAGCTCGCCCGCAGGGGCCCTGTGTGCCCCGCTCCTCTCAGGATGGTCACAGGCTTGGACCACAGGTTGGAGCTCAGGCTCAGACTGGCATGGCCAGCCCCAACCCCAGCAGAGACAACAGAGACCTGGCACGAGGACCTGCCTTCCTGGACAGCGAGCGCCGGCCAGAGCCCAGGACCCCAGCCCCCGCCAGGACCGTGCACAGCACGCCGCCGAGGGGCCCAACAGCCCCGAACCCGTCGTGGTGTCCAGGAGCAGAGTCCTGCCCGTGCCCAGCTCCTGGGCGCTAGAGTGCAAACCGAGATCCAAGGGGCAGAGGTGGCAGCTGAACTGGCGGGCACCACCTCACAGGCCCCCGGGGGCCACCCCAGCGCCTGAGCAGCAGGAACCGAGGGACCTCTGACTCCCAGAAAGAGACGCAGCCCCTCCCCCAGGCCAGACCCACAGAAGCCAGACTCAGGGAGGAGCTGGCACTGCATCAGCAGGATTTGGGGGCACCAGGACACCTGCCCACGCCTGTGTGTGGAGTGGAGGAGCGGAGCGTGGGACAGAGCACAGGACGACACCTCGGCCGCCCCAGCCAAGAGGAAGATGCTGCCATCGCTGGAGGCCAAGCACAGTCCGGGGGCACAGCCCGGCCCTGTCTCCCCCCTCCCCTGTGGCACCAGGCGTCTCACGGGGGCGACACCGCTGGGGCTTCCATCTAGCACCCTGCGGAAGGCAGCACACACCGACCCAAGTGCTCGGGCCCCTGCATCCACGTGGGAGCCTGGGATGGGGCCGTGGGAGCCCACCACGGGGCTCCAGAATCCTGGCTGCCGCCTGGCCCAGCCCCAGCCATCGTGGCCATTTGGGGAGTGGACCAGCAGACGGCCAAGATCTCTCTCTCTCTAACTCTGCCTTTCAAATAAATAAATCTTAAAAAGAAAACCCTCCTCTGTCTCCCCCTTCTGTCACCTTTCAAATAAATAAGTAAACAAATAAACAAATATTTTTAAAAGTAGGGGAAGGAGGAGGGAGTGGGAGAGGGAGGAGATGGTGGCTGGACCCTCGGGCCTCCAGGATCTCCCAGAGCGGGTGGGGAGCGACTTGTGTCCCTGCAGCCAGGGATGGCCCAGAGCCTCCGGTTCATCTGCTGAGTGTCTGCTCCGCCCAGGCACTGTGTTAGGCTCCAGGCGGAGAGGGGAACCCAGCGTGGAGGGCAGGGAGACAGGAGATGGGCAGTTGGCTGCACAGAGGGAGCGGGGGTGGGCACCAGAAGAGGGCTCTGGGGGCGGGGCGTGCATTGGAGCAGGCTGGACTGGACCGTGCCACGGCAGCCCTCAAAGCGTGACTGAGCGCCCAGCACTGCGGGAAAGGACCAGTCGAAGCCGCACCATCTGCCTCCTAGGGTTAGCTTCAGCCGCAAGGGTTAACACGGGAGAGCTGCTGGCTTGTCCACCTTCCCCCACCGTCCTGGCTCAAGACGGCTGCCTGAACACCAGCAATCACGTCTGAATTGCAGCCAACAGTACAGAGGAAGCAATGGGAAGGGGGTGCAGAGGGTTCAGGAGGGTCTCCTTCTCAGCCGGGCCGTTCTAGGACCCTGGAAGGCCCCAGACCAGGCCTGGGGTGGCAGGGGAACATGGTGGGGGCTGCTGTGTCGCAAATGCGGATCCTCCAACTGCTCTACTTTACGTCTCCCGGTTGGGGGCTGCCTCCCCCTCCCCCCAGCCGGAGCCTCGCAGGTGCCCTGGGCATCCGGACACCCATCCGGGTCCGAGGGAGAGGGGTGGGACAGGCGGGATTCCAGACTCACCCCTCCCCCCACAGGTGTGCAGGGCGGAGAACCCCAGGCCGGGTTTGGGCCAAGCGACTGTCATAGCCCTCCCCACAGCCAGTCCCACCCCTGCCGCTGGATGCTCGAGGACCTGTCGGAGCCCATCCTCTGTGGCCAGCAGGGAGAGGCACAGACCCGTCGCCCGGGGTGCCCCATGCCGCAGCACGCCCACGACAGCCTGCGCATGCGCGCGCGAGTGCCCGCACCCCCGCCCTCCCCGAGGGGTTAATTGTCACTCACGACACCACGACGGCAACACAGACCTCCGGCCCCAGCATTTTGTTTTGTTTTGTGGTTATTTTTTTTACAACTTTAAATATGGAATATAAATAAATTTTACATTTAAAAAATAAAAGGAAGGCCCCCAAAAATATAATCACCGACTTTACAAACTGAAGGAAGTAGATGGGGGTGGGTGGGGCAAAGTGCTGCCAGGAGGTGGGAGGGGAGGTGGGAGCACAGACCCCGCCCCTAGGGGGCCCTGGGGCCCCTCCCTTTTCTCCCCCCTCCCGAGGGGGCGCTGGAAGGGGTTGAAGAAGGGGGAGAGTGCAAGCAGGAGGGGCGGGAGAGGGGGGCTGCCCCCTCCCAGACGCCCCCCCTGGGTTTCTCACGCCTGCCCAGAAGGGGGCGAGATGGACAGGTGCTTCCTCCCTGGCCCCGCCCATGGGCTCCCTCCTGTCTGACCACCCCCAGCCACAGACCCCGGGAGCCCGCGTGAATTAGGAGCACGAAGCTTTTCCTCAGCTGCTTTACCCACGTCTGCCAGAAACCATCCTAACAGATGCGCACGCGGCCACGTCCACGGTGCGCACCGCGCTGCCTGCCTACAGCGCCTGGTGCAGCGCGCTCCCTGTACAGCCTCACACAGCCGTCTTGCTTGGGTTGGAACACGGTGCGCGGGGGCCCTGCTGCCCTGGCCCCTGGGAGGAGTGACCGGGGTCACCTGGAGCCTCGGTAAGGGGGTCCCGGAGCCCCTCAGTGGAGCGGGGTGGGGGCAGGGCAGAAGAAGACGCAAGGTTCAGGAAGACAGGTGAACGGAGACAGAGGAGAAGCGGGGGTGGGGGCGGGGCTGGGGGAGGAGGCAGGGGTGCCCAGGTCGCATCGGCGTCCACCCCAGGGCAGGCTTCATCTCTAGCCTACTGAGAGGGCGCTCGGCCGCGGGGGCTCTGCACAAGCTCCCGGAGGGGCCCGACTGGCGAGGACCTCTCCCGTGTGACGCGAAGAGAAGCTGCCCAAGGGGCCGGGCGCGGCCATCCCGCAGTCTGCGCAGCCTGGCCCGCGGAGCAGGAGGCCCCCGCCTGCCTGGAGGGGTCCCTCAGAGCTGGCCAGGGGTCCAGGAGCCAAACAGGAGACGGGCGCGCCTGCCCCATCCGTCTCGCGCGCGCTCAGCCCAGATCCTCGAGGAGGCAGCCACACCGCCGGGGCTCGGCCCTGCTTCCTTCTCGCTGCGGCGGAGGCCGGCTGGGGGGCGGACGGACACGTGCGGGGCAGGAGAAGCACCATGGCCGTCCGAATCAGGCATCGAGACAGACGGACGAGGGGGACATTATCACTCCAAGGACCCCATGGGGGCAATACAGCAAATACCATATTAAATTACCCTGTAGGCCAAGCAGAGGGACAGGGGGTCGGACACAGCCCAGCATGCACCCCAGCCCGCGCGGGGGCGGGGAGGATCCCCCCACTCCCTCAGGGCAGCTGAGACCGCTGGGCTGGGGTCTCCCAAGCCCCCCACGCCGCTGCCCCTCGGAAGGACTCAGCGGCTGCCGGGGTGGAGGCACCAGGGTGAGAAGCTGGGTTTGGGGGCCGGGCCCGCTGGCCGCCCTCACCTGCCCACTCTCCTGCGATGCCCCTAGGCCCCGAGGGTCTCCTTGAGCGCCTTCTTGTCCGGCGTGTGCTTGAACTTGTGGTGCTTGCGCTTGGGCGGCCGGCGGACACGCACCGTCCGGATGGCCACTCGGGTCTGGGGTGCCTTGGCTGCGGGAGAGAGAAGAGCTTGTGAACGGGGCGGGGCAGGGGAGGGGCCCAGACTGAGCTGGGCACGTGGTGGCGCCTGGAGCCGCTGTGTGTGCCTTGAAGACAACCACTGCACGGGCTGTGCCTCAGTTTCCCCATCTGTGAAATGGGTTGTGTGGCCACCTGCCGGCACCCTGCCCGGCACACAGGGCAGCAGAGTGAAGACAGCTTCAGATGCTTCGCCCTTAGCCACCACCTGGACTCGGGTCAGCTGGACCCTAGGAGGGCAGAGGCAATGCCAGGGCCGGTGCTGGGGGGGCGTCAGCAGGGAGGAAAGAGGTTGGGCTGAGTTGTGTCCCCCTTAGGCCACCATCTGGCCACCACCGCCAGAGATTGGGATTTGAACCCAGGGACCTGCGCTCCGAGCTCACGCTTCCGTCACTGGGTGCAGGACTGGTGCCGCTGAGCCTTGGTCAAGGTCAAGGTCAGCTCCTACTCATTCTCTCCCTTCTGGGCTCCAGGGGCCACTTTCGCACCGGAAGCCAGGTCTGCCCGGCTCCAGGCCGGCTGCTTCCTGGGAGGCTTGGGAGCTGTCCCCAGCCTGCTGGGGCTCATGGGGGCTGACGGCTTTTCTCCCATCTCATAGGGGTCACGGTCTTATCTCCCATCTCATAGGGGTCCTGGTCACACATTTCCTAGTAGTGCAGGGCTGGAGTGGGTATCAAGTGCCCCCAGGAGAGGAGGCCCGGGAGCTTCAGCCCAGAGCTTCAACAGGACGCTGGCTGGGCAAAGGCCAAGCTCCAGGTGGCGGCACAGGCTGAGATCGGAGCCTGGTGTGTGTGGGCAGGTCTGCCGCAGAGCCCCGGCAAGCGGGCGCCTGCACAGGGACGGTGGCGGCCACGTGCCCGCATGGCCAGGCTGCCTGGTGCACGGCAGGTGTCCCGAGGCTCTTGGAGAGCACCTAGTGTGAAAGAATGCGGCGTGGATTCCCGGCTTCATGTTCCAAAATAAACTAATCTCTTCATTCCACCTTTCCACTGATTAGTTTTTTCCAGTTTAAGAGGCAGAGAGACAGAGCCAGAGTCCATCCACTGGTTCCCTCCCGGAGGAGGCCGGGCCTGGGCCAGGGCCAGGGGCAGAGCCAGGAGCTCCGAACACGGGCCGGGTCTCCCACAGCCGGCAGGGACCCGGCCAGTGGAGCATCCCCACTGCCTCCTGGGGTCGGCACTACAGGAAACCGAGGCGGGAGCCAGTGTCAGGTACAGAACCCGGGTACTCCGAGGGGGAGGCTCCACCCAGAGCCAGGGCGCAGCCCCAAGAACGAGACCGAGAGGCCAGCAGGGCGCCCGGCCACAGAAAGCACCCCGGAAGCTTGGCAACGGAAAGTTCCGGAAAGCGAAGCTGCCACTTGGCTGGGTTTGTCTGTAATCCCCGTGTGATCATCTCAACCCAGCGATCCGAGCGGCCCCCGAGGGGAGAGAGGAACAGGCCCGGCTCAGAGGACCCACGACGGGGAGACCTGCGTCCTGGGCTCGGCGCTGCCCGTGCAGCCTCCGGGAGCCCCGCGGCTTCTCTGCTCCAGCCGCACTGCGAACACTACGGACAGGCTGGCTTTGCAGGGTCGGCTCTCGGGTCCACCCCAGCGCTAAAACCTTACAGTCCTTTTACAGAGACAAGGCAGGGGATGCACCAGCAAGACAGGAGGGCACCCCCCCAGGCGAAGGCGACTCCAGAGCTAAGAGAAGGGGCTCAGCTTGTGCAGAGCTGGGAGAAGGGCTGGTCACCTGTGCAAAGGCCCTGAGGCAGAAATGTACTCAGCCCCCGGGGCGGCCAGCCCTGCTGGGGTGGTGTGAGTGAGGGGACTGGCTGGTGGCAGGGCCACAGGGCCAGCTGATGGCTGTGAGCTCACTTAGGGCTTCCCAGCCACAGAGGAACCTGGCTCAGCCAGGGGCTTGGGACCAGACTTCCTGCCGCAGGGGTAGGAGGCCGTGGGCTGAGAGTGCAGAGGAAGACCCCAGAGAGGCGCTTACCTCGCTGCTCCTGGGACCCCCCGGGGCTCCGGGCCGCGGGCCGCACGCCTGCCACCGTCTCACACTTGCACGCCAGGTGGTCCTCCAGGGTCACCGTGGCCTTCTTGAAGGTGGGCTTCTTGCGCACAATCTCGATCTTTCTCACCTGGAGAGCAGAGCCCATAATGCGCCCCTGGAACAGCCGCCGGTGCAGGAGCCCACGGCACGCCCGCCCACCCGCACGCACGCACGCCTCCCAGCCTCCCGGCCTCCATGTTTTCCTCGAGAGCAGCCGGAGGCCCGGGCAGCAGCGCGACCTTGCCCTCTGCCCTTCTCAGAGGTTTTCCATCAAAACAAGCCCTCCAACGTGGCCTCCCGCTCGGCCCGGCCCCTGCGGCTGCCCCCAGAGCGGGAGAAAGGCATTTCCGGGTTGGGCTGCGGGGCTGTGGTGTTCCCATTCCTGGAGCGCCAGCCAAGGTCAGGGGCTTTGGCAGAGGCGGGAGATGGTTGTCTGGAAGGAAGCAGGGGGAGGGGAGGCCGGGCTTCATCCAGGGGGAGGCGGGAAGGGGGTCAGCTGTCGGTGTCCGTGTGCAGGGTTGGAGGCTCCGGGCACAGGAGGTTCCACGACAGAGGGAGGATAGAGTGACATCTGGGCGTGGGGAAGGCGGGCTGGGCAGCCAGGCGCCGCTGGCCAAGGTGGCGGGAGGGGGCGTGGCCGAGCAGGCAGGGCCCACGGGGGCGTGGCCGGTGGAGAGGGGCAGAGACAGCAAGGCTCCTGTGGCCCTGCCCAGCCCAGCCTGAGACCAGGAGCTCCTGGGACAGCACCTAGCAGGATGCATGGACACGCCCTCCCTGGGGAAGAGGCAGGCCGCACTGTGCCCCTACACCCTCCTCGTTAAAGACCCAGCTCGTCCGAGGCAGGGAGGGGAGCGGGTGTCAGCTTATGAGAGAGCAGAGAGCGGCGGGAGACTCTGCAGCTGCCTAGAATATCCTGTGAGAGCTGCACCTGCCCCGCCCCGCCCCGCCCCGCCCGCGAGCGAGTGGGGGCTGCACACCTGCACGGGCCGCAGCTGCACCTGGGTGGGCCGGCACTGCACGTGCCGGTTGTTGCAGCAGCCGGAGCAGCGCTGCACCTCCACGCAGGGCGGCCACACCAGGAAGTTGGCGTTGGTGCGGTCGATGAGGCGCCGGGAGATCTCAAAGACCTCGGTGCGCGTCTTGCACTCGGCGATCACGGCCGGCTCAGCGGCGGCTGTGGGGGAGCCTGGAAGGGGAGGAGCCTCAGTCGGGAACCTGGTGGAGGGGCCCCCACCCCGCGCGTGCCCCGGACACAGCTCTTTCTCAGAAACGCCTGCCCCTCGCCCACTTCCCTTCAACCCCGGGGTGGAGACCAAGTCCTGGCTGTTCTCAGCCACAGGACTTGGGCAGGCAGCTGAATGCTCCAAGCCTCAGTTTCCCCATCTGCAAAATGGGACGGTGAGACCCACCCACCCCCCCCAGAAGCATGGCGGGGGTCAGGGGATGGTTCTGAGGGTGTGCACCCACCCTGGGTGAGCAGGTGGAGGAGGGCCCGCTTCCCCGCCGGGCTGCTCTGGGGCCTGGCGAGCTAGACTCCTCCTGCACAGGGCTAGGAGGCGGCTCCGGGCTCTGCCCTCGGCCAGCAGGGGCACGGGATTCACATGGGAAGAGCGGGCCGGGGCCTCCCAGCTGTGTGACCTTGCCTGCCTCTCTACCCTCTCTGGGCCCCAGTTTCCAATTCTGCAAAATGGGGTTAATAACGCCGACCTCCAGGGTTCAAGTATGGAACCAGTGAGCCCTCAGGCACCAAATTTAGCAAATGCAGAGCTACGCTGGGGGGTTAGGGTGACTCAGCTCCCCTGGGCAGGGCACGGAGGGGGTCACTCTCCCAGCTCAGCCCAGCCCTAAGTGGGAGCAGGAGCATGCAGGGCCCTCTTCCTGGCCTTACCCAGGCTCCTCCTGCCGCGGGACAAGCCGTCCGGCTCTCCTCCCGAGTGGGACCGGGTCACGTTCAGGTCCAGCTCAGCACTATCTTCGTCTGCAAGACGAGGCGCCGTCAGACCCGTGCTGATGGTGGCGGGCAGGAGGGGACCCCTGGCCGAGAACGGCTCCCCGCCAGCGGCCGGGGTCCTCCAAGCGGGCTCAGGCGGGTGGGAGGCTGATGGCCACCCCGGAGCCCCCACCATGAGTGCTTTGGCCACATTTTTGGCCAGGACCCAGGTCAGCAGTTAAAAATACTTGACCCCCTTTGCCACTGTGGCGAACCCGAGCTCGGCCTCCAAGGCGGGGCGGGGACCCAGGGCCTCGGGCGGCTTCCAGTGCCCTCCGCCCAGCGTTCCCACAGGAAGTGCCGAATGCAGAACTTCCCAGAATCCCCGGGGGGACCCTCCGGAGCCCCGGACAATGGCCCTGCTGGGCCAGAGAGAGGGCGGGCATGCGAGGGCCGGGCCGGGCGCTGAGCCGGTGGAGGGGAGGCGTGGGGAGCGGGGCCGAGCCCTGCCCTGCCTGCTGCCCCGCATCCAGCGGCTGCCGCACTCTCTCCACCCTCTTCCTGGACCTTTAGCCCTAAGCTGGACGCATCCGCCTCGGGCCACAGATGACTGTGCCCTGCCCAACCTCGCACTGTCACCTGGGTGCCACCCGCACTCCTGCGAGACACTGACCCTCCCCAGAGCCAGCGGCCAGGGCTGAAGGGAGGAGGAGGAGGGGGAGGAGGCCAGCGCTGGCGCTGAGTTGTGGACGGGCCTCTCTGGCTCTCCCCTGGGCTGAGAGGTGTTGGGGACAAGCTCGTGCCACCTGCACACGGGGCTCTCACTCTCGCCCCGGCAGAGGCAAAGACTCCTGCTGGCTGTGGCCGTCGCCAGGGCCCCGGGGACCCTGCTCGGAGGGGACTGTCAGTGGGAGGCTGGTCCATGACTGTCCAGCCCCAGCCTGCACGCCAGCGTGTCTGTCTGTCCCTCTCCCTGCCGTCTCTGGAATGTCCCTGGGTGGGGGGAGGGACGTGCTTTGTGGAAAGGTTAAGTTGATTAGGAAAAAATAGCCACGTGGCTGCCTCGAAACAGGCCGGCTATTGAGAACCTCATCTGCAGGGCTCCGACCCCACCAGGGGTGTGGAGGGGCCGGCGGCCGCGGGCAGGGCCGGGGCCTGGGGAGAAACAGCAGAAAGGCTAAATGTGGACGTTGCCATTGTGTGGTCAGCCGGGCACGGGGCGGGGGCTCTGGCAGCCCTCGGTGGGGGCCCAGCAAACAATAGGTGGGCCCGGCCGGGCGTCTTCACCACCCCCCAGTCCAGGCGGGGTTGAAAGGGCCGGGGAATGCTTCTGAGAGGGAGCCAGGGGCCCAGGGGCAGAGGAAACAAAGGCAGGAAAAGCTGTTCCCCCACAGATAGTGTCTGGGCAAGGGTTACAAAGTGACACAGAGACAGAACCCCGAGGGAAGGGGGCCTGCGGGTGCAGGGGGGCCGCCCGAGCAGGCCAGAGGTTACAGGCGAATGGCATGCACTCGGAAGACAGCGCGCATGAACCCAGCCCCAGCCCTGCCAGCCCTGCCACGTGTGTGCCACCCAGCACGTGCCCTCTCACTGGGCACGCCCTCGGGCTTGGCCAGGGCGGCCGGCTGGCCTAGGCCAGGTGTCCCCGAGAGACCTCACAGGCCGGGCCCTGGGCCAGAAGAGCAGGGAGATGGCTCCCCCGCACCCCACACCCTGGCCACACCTGGAGAGGCTCTGAGCACACGCCCGGGGCACCTGCTCCCCGCCCCGCCCCTGTACCCAGACAGCGCCACGCATGGCTGTTTCTCCTGCCACACCCACAGCCCAGGTACCCACCAGCCTGCGGACAGGCAGGTCCCGCCCAGGGTGGGTGTGGCCGGCCTGCGAGGGCTGCCCTGGGCCCCTAGTTCTTGGCACCTTAGGGAAAAGGGCCAGAGTGCGGGGCACGGATTCAATTTACCTCCCGGGTCTCCGTGCAGCAGGCGCTGGAGGTCCTCGAAGGAGCGGATGGAGTGGCCACTCAGCATCTCGTAGAGCTCTTCAGGAATGGGGTCCCCCTGCCAGGCAGACAGCGCGGCTGAGTGGCGGGAGGCGGGGCTGCCCGCCGGGGCCTCCTCCAGTGCACCTCCCACTGCCCCCCCAGGCATCCGAAAACGCACAGCTGGGACAGGCGGCATCCGGGGCCAGAACCCTGAGACCCAGCTGGGCTGCTGCGCCCCAACCCTCAAACAGGGACCCCAGCTCGCCTGTCTCCCCCATCAGACTTCGGGCTCCACCAATCGGATTTTTCTCCGCTTCTCTGCCCTGCCCCGCCTCCCTCTCCACCCCGCACCCATCAACGCTCGCACAGAAACCCGTTTCACAGACGAGAAAACAGAGGCCTCGGTGGGGGCCGTCCTCTGCCCAAGTTCTGCAGCCTCGCAGCGGGGGCAGAAGCTGCATTCAAACCCAAGGCTTTGCGCTCCCAGCCGGCCGGTGCACGCGTGCTTCCCAGCTGGGTGCGCGGCGGCAGCCACGTGTACCGGGTGTATCTGCTCCTCTCCCACGAAAGAGGGAATCCTTAGACACCGCCAGGAAACCTGAACACTGACCCCGTCCCTTGCTCCACCGAACCCTATTTTTAGAGCCGCTCTGGCCGGCTACCAAACACACTTGAAACCTAATAAGCGCTTCAGCAGGCCTCACCCGGAGCCGGCTTCCTCCACGCGAATCACGGGTCCCACAGCCACACGAGAGCAGCCTGGCCCACAGGCCCACAGCCCCGCAGCGCGGAAGCCAGGGGCCCCGAGACAGACAGGAGGGCAAGCAAGAGACGGAGAGGGGATGTGAGACGCCACGCGTGGGAATGCACACACGTGCAGAGCTGCACGGCGGGCACGGGCGGGGGCCCCAGAGAAGGCATCAGAACGTGGGGCTTCTGGCTGTGGAATCTGGGGCTCGGCCACCCCGTGCCTCAGTCTCCCTGGAGTGAGAGGGGAAGAAGTCGTGTCTCACTTGGTTCACAAACAAGGAACGGTGTCTGGGACCTGGGCAGGGCTGCCCAGGAGGGGGCGCTGGCCTCGCCCTGCCTGAGTAAGTGTGTGTGTTTGGGGGAGTCGTTGGCCCCCTGGCAGTGCTGGGGCGCTCTCCCCAAAAGCTGTCTCCTCGACACTTGTCATGGTGACCCGGAGCACCTACTCCAGGGGTCCGGCCGGGTCCGGCTCTGGCCGCCCCTGTCAACTGGGAGCTGGAAGCCCTCAGGGAGGTGGGCGTGCCCACTGGGGAGCCAATCCCTTGATACCTCTGTGCCTCAGTTTCTCTGCTGGGTCCTGAAGCCAATGGCCTCCCCCCGGTGTCTCAGGGCTGCGGGGAGGCTGGAGGGGGGAACGGCTGAGCGAGGCGTCACCACACACACTCCTCCCTCATGTCCCACCCCCTGCCACCTCCAAGCAGGTTCACTGCTCCAACCCAGAACAGTGACTGTGCCCAAAGGTTGACAAAGGACCCACCCCAGAGCACAGCCAGCCAGGGACACCTGGCGGACCTCAGGCTGGTCACTGCCCTTCTCGGACCCTGGCTCGCCTGTGAATCGAAGGGGTGGAAAACCCTCCAGTCCACGCTGGTCCTGCCTCGCGGGTGGGAGAGGGGGCAGAGCCAGGCCAGAGCAAGGGTGCCCGCCAGGCCTCGCTCGCAGAAGAGGAACAGGAAGTGTCTGTGAGGCCCTCCCGGGGGAGGTGCTCAGCTCCTTGCCCCTGCAGGCGTCCACAGTGGCAGGGGAGGCCCAGCATGCCCACCCAGGCCCACAACACAAAGGAGGTGACGCCTGCAGGAACAAACTGAGACGCTGCGGGGCCGAGTGGGGAGGAGCAAGCCCAGGAGAGAGACCGCGGAGGAGCGAGATGCAAACAGGAGGTGCTCAATAAATGCTGCAGAATGCACAAGGACTCGACTGCTCCCTAGGGCCCCCTCTATTATGATTCTCCCACCGCCTCCATCGTGAAGGCCACCAGGGATACTCTTCCCTTAACCCAGGAAACTAGCCCCAAGTCCGTTTTATTCTAAGCAGGGAGCCTGCTCCTGCACACGCTGCTTGTGATTGGATAGGCGCCTTGGACTTGATAACAGTACCCAGGGGCACTATTTCATCCCATCTTAAGATGAGACAACTGAGACTAGGAAAAAGCAAACAAGAGGTCTAGCTCCAGATGACCAGTGAGCGTGTGTGCGGGGTCTCCCAGGCCCCAGGGCACCCCTGTTCTCCCAGCCACACAGAGCTGCACAGCCTCCCTGTCCTCGGCTCTGGGCGTCATTGGAGGTGTGGGGTCAGCACTTGGCGCCTGCGTGTGTCCTAGGCAGTGACACACACCACGGCCGCCCGCAATGGCTCACCACTGGCCCCAGACGCCTGGAGCCCAGAAGCCAGGGGAGCCTGGTATCACAGGGTCCCTGTTTTAGCTTGGGCTTTTAAATGGAGCTACCAAGGCTGGTGGTATGGTGTAGCCTGTTGAGCCACCGCCTGCAGTGCCAGCATCCCATATGGACGCCGGTTCGAGTCCCGGCTGCTCCACTTCCAATCCAGCTCCCTGCTAATATGCCTGGGAAAGCAGTGGAAGATGGCTTAAGTGCTTGGACCCCTGCACCCATATGGGAGACCTGGAAGAAGCTCCGGGCTTCAGCCTGGCCCAGTCCTGGCTATTTCGGCCATTTGGGGAGTGAACCAGCAGATGGAAGATCTCTCTCTCTTTCTCCCTCCCTCTCTCTCTCGCTCGCTGTAACTCTGACTTTCAAATAAATAAATCTTAAAAGAAAAAAAAATTGGCTCCCAACACCTCGCCTGGGACTAATCGGGAGGCCGCTGCCGCCCACCAAGGGGCAGAGGGCAAACAGCAGGCGCTTTGGGAGCCACCGCTGCCATCACGCTTACTCTCTCAGCAGCGGCAGCGAGCGGCACACGTGCCCAGGCCAGCAGCACAGGCCGTCTGCAGAGGGCAGCGGGCGGGGAGAGGGCGGCCTGCCCGTGGGAGGATGCTGGGCCCCAGGAAATGACACCCCAGCCCCACACCGGCACTTCCTGGGGTCGCGTGGGCTGGCAGGTCCCTTCCGGGACTGGGGGTGGGACAGCCAGCCCGCGGCCAGCATCAGGATGCCATATGCCTCGGGAGGGGGAGGCAGACTTGCAATGCCACCTGTTTGGATGAGAGGCTCGTCTGGGTGTGGGAGGGCGAGCGGCCGGGACCTCGGACACCCTGGTGCAGGGAGGTAGGGAAGAAGGGTCTGGCGCCCTGGCAAAGCTGCCCCAGATCTGAGGCCTGGGGCTCCTGGCAGGGCGAGGGCGTGGCGAGGAGGCAGCTGGGCAGAGCCAGCCTTGGGAGCCAAGGCAAACAGCGCCCTCCCCACCCCACCCCCAGCGCCAGCTGCGGGAGGCAGGAAGGGCACCGGCCAGGTGAATTACCTGCTCCCAAACAGGCTGGCAGATCAAAGGGCCCTCCCCAACCCTCCACCTGGGCCCCAGCGCACACACACAGGCAGCTCCCCACCTGGCCTGCCGCCGCCCCACAGGCACAGCCCCACTCGGGCCCACGCAACCAGGGGCGTTGTCTGGCTGGCAGCGGGAGCTGACAAGGCCTCCCAGCGCGCGCCCGCCCGCCCGCCCGCGAGTCTCGGGCCTTTTTAGACCGGAAGCCAATGCCTTTCAAGAAGGCTTCTGCACCGACCACAGAAGCCATTTAGACGGCCCAGCTTCCCCGGCCACCACTGCCCTTCCTCAGGGCTCCGGGGACCCTGCCTCCTGCTCCGTCGTCTTCCTGGGAGCCCCACCCACTGGCCTCCCTACCTCTGGCTGGAGCAGAGAAAATGTCAAAGCAGGAAGTGAGAGACTGGCCGCATGTGACAGCCCAGTGCAGTGGCTGTCACCCCCCAGGCCAGAGGCCAGGTACTTCTGCGGCTCCCGGGGACTCCGAGCTGACCCCGACGTCTCGTTTGTTTGTTTTTAAGGTGACAGAAACCGGAGAGCTGCTAGAGACACAGAGCTTTGCCAGCCCCTTTCGCTGCTGCTTCCTCCCCTCTGTCTGTCCGAGCCCAGAGAGAGACGGGGAAGGAGAGACAAGCTGGGGTCTCGAGGTGGGGGCCTCTGAGCCCTTCCCCACGGGGACCAGGACGAAAGCACACCAGCGGGGAAGGAGGCCCTAAATGCCTAAGAAACCAAGGACCAAAGAGGGCTGGCCCAGAGGGGGCATCTCAGCGGCAAGAGCCAACACCCCTCACTGCTCCTCCTAAATCCCCCCTCCCACACACGTGCACTTCCTGCCTCCACATTCTCGCACCCTGACCTTGCGCACCTGCAGGCCAGTTAGTCTCCCATCCCCCAAGTCCACCAGCAAACCAAGAGGAAGCTGGGTGGCAAAGGACCGGGGGCTCCTCCTCTCCTTCTGGGCATAGGGTGCTGAAGTCAGGGTGTCGTCTGACCGCGGGGGTCACCCTCTCGGCAGCCAGCGTGCCACAGGGGTCCCCTCTGCTTCCCAGCTCTGAGGCCTCCACCCAGGTCTCAGTCTGGGGTCACGGACAGCTCCAAGGCCCCCTCCGCCAGCAAGCCCTCCCTGAGGCCCCGCACACTGGCAACCCGGAGCGCATTCTCGGTCTGGCCCCCACGGGTATCAGTCTCGGGACCATCCCAGCACCCACCTAAGGCTTAGTCAGGGTTGGCAGAAAATTAATAAACCTTCCAAGCTGCAAAGCACCACACACAAGGGCAGAGTTTCTGTGCCGCCTCCTCCTGGTCAGATGCACGGAGGCGCAGAGTCCGCGTGGGGAGGAGCAGCAGGTTGGGGCCGAGTTGCACCTGCTAAGGGGAGGCCTGGGAGCCCCTCCTGCCTGGGAAACAGCCTCTCCAGACTGCATCAGCAAAGGGAGTCAAACACAGGGTCTCCAGTGCCGCAGGTTCAAAGAAGGGCTTCCTGGAAGTGACAAACGCTCTGGGCACTCTGGGCGCTTCAGTCACGGCACCGCCATTCGGGGCCGCATGGGGGTGGCTGGGAAAAACTGCAACCACGGAGCTTAAGGCTTGGTGGGGTCAAACGGCAGAGCAGGCAAACACCCAAAAACAACAACCACCAAAAAAAGCGCGCTGTGGAGCGGAGACCGATGGCTGCAGGCGGCGGCCACGGCGAGCCCACCTGTTGCGCAGGGCGGGCCCGGTGCCGGGTGCACAGGGCCTTGCGTGCCTGTGTACGTGCGTGGGTGTGCGCGCACGTGTGCTCGGGGCGCGTGTGCTGGGGCCGTGCGTGCGTTTTGGGTGCGGTGCGCGCGCGTGTGGCCCGCGTGTGCACGGGCGTGGCGGCGGCGGGCGCGCGACCTGGCCGCGGTAGTGCGTGCCCGTCGCTCGGCGCGCCCGCCTGCCGGAGCGCAGCATCGCCTCCGGCCAGGAGTGTGCATGCGTGGGGTGAGTGAGCGAGTCGGGGGGCCGGGCGGGGTGGGCTGCGGCGAGCAGCCGCGGGGCGCCGCCGTTCCCAGGACGCCCTGGCACCGGGCCCAGCCCCCAGGTCCCGCGGCGAAGCGAGGCGGCAGCTGGGGCCGGCCGGCGCCCCCCTCCCCAACAGCTGGCCGCGGCCCGGGGGGCTGCGGGAGAGGCGGGGAGGGGGTGTCGGGAGGGGCCTGCAGGCGGCCAGGCCGAGTCCCGCGTCCTCCTTCCCGGGTGCGGGCCGCGGGGGGCGGCCGCGGAAGGGCGGGGCCCCCGGGCGGGCGGCCGGCGGCCCTCGAGGAGCCCCGAGAACAAAAGGAGACGGCTCCTCCGTGGTCAAAACAACCTGCGCTGGCGGCGGCCCAAGGCCCGGCCGCGGCCTCGGAGCCCTCCGCCTTAACCCCTTCGCCGCCGCTGCCGCCGCCTCCCTGCGCCTCTCGGGAGGCCCGCGCGGCCGGTCCTCCCCCGCAGCCGGCGAGGTGCGGAGGCGGGACGGGACCCCGGCCCGCCGCGCGGCCCGCCGCCCCTCCCGCTCCACCTCGAGCCTGCAGCCTGCCCCGCCCCCTTTCCCACCTGGATTCGGGGCAGACTTGCCAACTCACGGCTACGTGAGCCTGGGGGAGGGGGTGGGGGCGGGGGCCGATCCGACCGGCGGCTCGCGCAGACGTGCGTACACCCCCTCCCCTGCAGCCAGGCTTCTGCGGGCGGCGCGCTCCGCACCCTGCCTGCGGGGGAGAGAGGTGCTTCCTCTGGCAGGGCGCGGGCGCAGGTATGGCGGGGCCTCAGGCACGCGCCGCCCCGGGGCTGGATTCCTTGAGCGTCCCCGGTCCTTCCCCTACCCGCAGCGCCCCAGTGCCCCGAACCTACTCGTGTCTGTCTGTCTCTCCGGTCCCCGTCACCCAGGACACAACCCTCTCCGCCGGGACGGAGCTCTGGGGCCAAGCATGCCCTGCGCCTGCCTGCGGACGCCCACCCTGACCCAGAGCTGGGGCCAGGGCGGGACCCGAACCCTCGCCCAGGGGCGGCTGGACGCCACGGGGGGCGCTAGCTCGCGCCTCCTGGGCCGGCCGGGTGCCGGTCCGAGCCGAAGCGAGGCTGAGGCCCAAGTGGCTGGGAAGGGCGCGCAGCCTTCCGCACCCCTCGGCGGCACCCCACCCCTCTCCCCTCGGCGGGCGAGGGCTCGCTTGCAGGAACCTGAGCGGTGGGGCGGGGTGGGGGTGGGGCACGGCCACACACACCCTCCCCAGGCGCCCTAAGGCGCAGGGTCTACGCCCGTGGGAAAGAAAGCCGCCCTTGCGCCCTTCGCCTTGGAGCCCGGCACCTCCAGACCTGCGGCCCCAGCCCTCCGAGGTCAGCGGGCTCGCCCTGCTGCTAGGGTCCAAAGTTCACTGCAGGGAGGGGAGGGGCGGCCAGGAGTGGGGGTGGGGGCAATGAATGGAGAGAACCAGCCGCAGCTGCCGTCGCAACTCACCTCGGCGCTGGCCAGACGCAGGTAGCAGCAGAGAGACAGAAAGAGCGCCCAGCAGCGATTCATGCCGACTCCCGGCCCGGCCCCGCGGGGCCCCGGACGCGTAGACCGAGCGCGCCGCCCCCGCGGCCAGGGTTGGGGGCTGGGGAGGGGGGTGGGCTCGGCTCCCGTCCGCGGCGATCAGGCGCTCAGGCCGCTGCAGCCGCCGCCGCCGCTCACCCGCATGGCCCCCGGGCTCCGTCGCTGGGGGGCTGGGGAGGACCTGGGCGCGGGACCTGGGTCCGAGGCCGCTACCTGGGCGGATCCCGAGCCCGCGCGAGCATCCACGGCCGGGGGGCTGCGTCGCGATCCGAGCCGAGGCGTCTAGCCGTGTGGGGGCGCCCCGGGGACTCCAACCTCCTAGAGAAGGAACGCGGCACTCGATGGTTCGTCTTCCCTCGCCGGCTACAGGCGTTTTCCTCTGCCCGCCGGCCTAGCTTTTTTGCAACATCTTCTGGAGAGGTCGCCCAAATCGGAAAGCGCAGGGCCCGGCACCTCAAAGCCCGAGTCTCCCCGAAAAAACTTTTTCCAAAGTTGGCTTTGCAGCGGCGGCCGGAGCACCCAGGCCGGGAGAGGTGCAAACTCCCGCCCGGGCCGGGGCGGGGAGGGGGGGAGGGGGGGCGGGAGCGTGTGCGCCCTGGCGCGGGGCCCGGGCGGCGGGCACGGCGGCAACGCGCGCGCGGCGTGCCCGCTGCGCGCTCGGCGCGGCCCGGTCGACAGGTGGACGCGGCGCGAGTCCGTCGGTCCGTGTGCCCGCCGGCTGCCTGCTCCCGGCTCCGGGCGTCCTCTGCGTGCGAGCTGCGGCTGCTCCGGCTTCTCTTTACAACGAGGCTGGAAGGTGGGCCCTTTTTTTTTCTTTTTTTTTTTTCTCCTTTTTGCGCGCCTGTGTGCCGGTGTGGGCGCAAAATCCCTCTACCTCGGAGGGGAAAGATGGGCGCTGGCGGCCGGAGGGGAGCCCTCGGGGAGGCGGCGGGGAGGCAGGCGGGCGCTCCCGGCTGCAGGAGAAGTTGCCACCCTTTCAGCTGTTCCGGCCTTTATAGAGGAGAAGAGTGCGAGAGGTGGGTGGAGACAGCCTTTCCTCTTCTGGCCGGGAGTCAGCGCGGCGAGGGGGGGCGGGAGCTCGGGAGGGCCTGGGGCGCGGCCGGGCTCGCGGGGGTCTCCGAGAGAGCGGGAGCCCCTCCGCCCTTGACTCTGGCCCCCGGACAGAACTAGGGGAGCCCACGCGCCCCGCCCCTCGGGCTGGCCACCAAGGACAGGTTAGGGACCCACGTGGTTGTTGGGGGTGGGATGTCTCCAGGGCCAGGGCCAGGAGTCGAAGCCCCCGCCCCGCCTAAGGACTAGCGGTTGGCACGCCGGCGGCGCAGGCGTGCTGGCCGCACGGGACTCCAGCTCCGTGGCTTGTGGCTTGCCTTCAGAGACCCTCCCCTGGGTCCCAGGCTGGGTCACCTTGGACCAGTCACTTCCCTCCTGTGCTCAAAGTGGCGGCGGCGGGGGTGGGGGCGGATAGGCTTGTTGTGAGGATTAAATGCTGGAAAGGGCAAAAAAACAGCCAGCCAGGAGGCAGCCACAAGGTGAACACACCAACGCCGCGGCAGCCAGCACCATTCAGCTGCAGGCTGGGCCTCTGTTCCCTCCTCCCAGCTGGTTGCCTGGCACACGAGCGGCCGTGCCAGCGTTGGCTGCATCCGAGTGTGTTGAACTGCAAAGTCACACAAACCCCCACACGCCTGCAGCATCCCGCGGGACCGCCATCCCGCGCCTCCTGTCACCCTGTGTACCACCTCCCTCGGCTCCCCGGGGTGCCCGGCCGGGGGGCCCATGCGCCCACACCAGCATGCACGCAGTTAACGCCTCCCGCCCCCAGCTTGGGGAGCTGCTATGTCCCTGCCTTCGCAGCCACACTGTCACAGTCACGGAGTCACACGCGCACACGCCGAGCCCAGCACCCACCGCGGGGCCCGCAGGCTCACTGCGCCCTGCTGTCTCGTGACGCCAGGGCACCTCTAGGTTGTCTGCTGCTGCTGTCTCTGTCTGCCATCTGTACCCAAACATTGCCTCTTTGGGGTGGCAGCCAGCGCCTCACACGTGCACGGCCTGTCTCTTCGTGAGCCGCTTTCTTGGGACCGGAGGAGGGCAGGCACCCACCCCGGAGCCACACGGGTGTCACGGTGGCCGAGACGCAGCCTGGGGCAGGTCGCTGTGGTGGTTCCCAGCCTGGAGTGGCCACTTAGCTGAGCAGGTGTCCTGGGCCGGCTGTTTAACCTGGGAGGACCCCGATTTCCTCCCGTGTAATCCGAGACGCTTATATAATGGGAGGGATGGCGGAGACGCCAGGGGCCGCTTGGCGGGACGGGGAGTGTTGGTCCCCTGGGGTTGCGTGGTGGAGTCCCACGTGAGAACCGACAGGTGCAGCTTGCCACACCTCGACACACGTTGTCCACGAATGGTTTGGCCGCCTCGTGGAGGGGTCGGCGGCTCCCGTGAGATCACGCGTGCAGGGGTCCCGTGCAGGAACTGGGACAAGGCTGTCAACGCAGCTTCGCGGCGCTCGCCAGGGGCCAGGCACTGCTGCAGGCACACGAGCAAACCAGCCGTGGGGCTCGGAGAGGCCCGTGGCTCGGCCGGACAGAGGCAGGAGGGCAAGGAAGGTGAGTGGGAGGATGGGCGGCCAGCTCCCGAAGCACTGGGTTCGAAGACTTTGAGACGGAAGCCGGTCCACCAGCCAGCTGAGCGACCTTGACCTCCTGCGTCCTTACCTGAAAGTGGCACCAGAGTGGCTGCCGTTGTTAGCACCGAGCCGTGGCGGCCTCACAGCTCCTGTGAGATAGGGGGCTGCTGTCTCCTGGTGGGGAGTGGGAGCGCAGGGGTCACGCGGCCGGGACTCGAACCCAAGCAGTGCAGCCACAGAGCCCACGTGCCGTGCTCTTGCCCGGCAGGATGACCACGAGGCCACATTGTGGGCCTTGAACACATCCATGGGAAAATGCCGTGCGGCTGAGCATCTGTCCTCGGCCTCAGGGGTGCACAGCAGGGGTGCTGCCTGGAGGAAGGGACCCCAGCCTGCTGCTCAGACATGTCCTACGGCCTTGAGTGATGCAGACACACAAATCGTTGTAGTCCAGATGTGTCTGTGCACGGGCCCCTCCTCCAGGAAGCTCGCCAGGCTTGCTGCTTGCTCTGGTCTTTGCCTGGTGTATCAGCCAAGTACTAGACTGGAGTTCAGGGTGAGCAGGGGCCTCGCCCCAGCTCCCAGCGTTCAGTTGTTGCTCACTGAATGTCTGCCCATGAGTCAGTGCCTTGCCTGTGTCTGCCTGTGGGTCCCGGCGGGTACAAAGTTGCCAGGCCCTCCCTAAGGGGTGGAGGGCGGGTGCTTGTAGCATGAGGTTCTCCGATAGGACCAGGAGGGATGACGGGCTGAGAGGGGGGAGCCAGACCCCATACCCCCCAACGCCTGCTCTCCTACCCCAAGCTGGAGAACCAGTGGCCATCCTTGCCAGAGGGGGCCCGCCCAAGGCCAGGGGCTGTTGGAACTGCGCGTTCAGAGAAAGCGCCCTGACCGAGCCCCTGGCCCGGCCCTGGCTGTTGCGGCCGTGTGGGGAGTGAACCAACGGATGGAACATCTCTCTGTCTCTGCGTCTTTCAAATAAATGAAAATAAATCAAAGTCCTCTCTAAAAAAGAGTCTTCCTTCCTGAGCGTGGAGGCCGGGAAAAACCAAGGAAGGGGTTGGGGTCGATCCCCAGGCGGCCCCGCGCCATGACGCGAACCGAGGGCGCAACACCAGCTGTCCACACCTGGAGGAAGAGGAAGTGGGGCTCCAACTGGGGACGGTCCCGGGCTGTGTCCTGAGTGACTGAGACTGCGGCTGGGGCTTTACAAGGGCCAAGCCCGTGTCCACTCCCACCCCACGTAGCGCGGTCAGCTCGCCCTTGTTCCCCTGCGGTCCTGGCCCCGCCTCCCTGTGGGCGCTTCCTCACCCTCTGCCCCGCCTCCCCTCACAGCCACCCTGGAGAAAGTGTTACCACCGCATGTGCCCATTTTACAGCTCAGGAAAGTGAGGTTCAGAGAGCAGGCTTCCTGGCAGCGTCTGGGTCCAGAGACCAGCTCTGTGACCTTGAGCGAATGACTTAACCTCTCCGAGCTCAGCTGCCCACCTCATGGGGTTAAATGAGCAACTACATCTCAAGAGTCCTCAGCAGACGCCGTGGTCACTGCGACTCCAGGCTCTCGTGCACACGCACACCGTGCACGCTGGCGCACATGCACCTGTCTCAGCTCCAGGGCTGGCGAGGACCAGCGCCCCACACGCTGGGCCTCTGTGGGAGACCCCCACCCTGGCGAGGCTTGGCCACGGCAGCTGTGGGTCCCAGGGAGGCGGCCGGCCAGCGTGCCGGAGCCCACCCTGCGGCCTTGGCCTTGGCCTGTATACAAAGGCGAGGGAAGCCAGTGTTTGTTTTCCCGGGGCTCAGCAGATGCATTTTTAGCTCCCCAAGGCTCCAGACGAGGAAGAGGATGTTTGGACGGGGCTTCGAGGAGCTACCTGCCCTGGAAGGGTCTGGAAGCTGAGCGAAGCCCTCCTGGGGTGAGGCGGGGGCAGACAGGCTGGGAGACCACAAGCTAAGCCCCGCCCCCACCCTGATCCTGGAACCTTGGTCCCGCCCCCACAACAGGCTGCCCCTCACTGCCCTGTTCTTACCTGCTGGGCCAGCCTCAGAGCCAGGCCCCACCTGAGCTGGCCGCCCGGGGAGGGAGGTGGGACAGTCGCTGCCCCTTTGCGGACAAGGGAAGGGAGGCTTGCTCCCCCCACGCCAGCTGCCTCCTGCCCCTACCTGAAGGCTGGCGCAGTGCTGAGGTCGCGCTGTGGAGGGAGAAGACCCAGGGAGGCTGCTGCCCTGGCCAGCGTGGCCCAGCAGGGAGGGGGCAGTGCCAGGGTTGACCCAAGCCTGTGAGGGGAAGCCACCTCCGAATCGGAGCCACCCAGCCCCTTCCCCGTAGTGAGGCGCACAGAGCCTGTGCCAGCTGCGTGCCGAGGCCTACAGGTGGGTGTGGCGGTCAGGGGAGCCCCAAGACACACCCGGCACCCCAGATCCAAGGCCATCTGCTGCCCGCCCCCTGGGGTGTGCTAGGGGTGGGTTAGCCAGCACCTTCCACACCAGGGCGTCCTCTCTGGAGTCCAGGGAACTGGAGGGGACAGGAGGTGGGAGGGAGGGAAGGGGGGGCAGGCAGGTCGCAGGCGCACCAGCGGGCCAGCAGCAGCTATTTGTAATTGGCGGGCGTGTCAAAAGAATGTAACCAACCACAGTTTTGAAAAAGAGGTTTCATGAATATTCACGAGAGCTGAAGCTGTGTGGCTACACTGTGCCCCACAGTGCACTTGCCTGAGAACAACTGCTCTCGCCCAGGCTGTGGATGGGCAGAATGAAGCCCAGGGCAGCTTTGCCACAGTCAGCAACAAGAGGGCAGAGCTGGGATTCGAACCTGGGCAGTCTGAAGCCAGCAGCACTGCCTGGACCGCCCCGCCCGTGTGCAAACCCCGGTGCCCGGCCCTGACTGACTCTGGGCCTGCGTCTGGCTTTTCCTATGAACTGAAAACTGCTCTTTAAAACCAATGAGGTTTGGGGGCTGGTGTCGTGGCGCAGTGAGCCCACATCAGGGCGCCAGTTCGAGTCCTGGCTGCTCCACTTCCCATCCAGATCCCTACTAATTCGTCTGGGAGAGCAGAGGAGGATGGCCCAAGTACTTGGACTCCTGCCACCCACGTGGAGACCTGGATGGAGTCCTGGCTCCTGGCTTCCATCTCACCCAGCCCCAACCGTGCCAACCATTTGGGGAATGAACAAAGGAATGGAAGATTCCCCCCACCTCTTGCTCTGCCTTTCAAGAAAATAAAATGAATCTTTAAGAAGTAAAAAACATTCTGAAAATCAGGTGAGGTGGACGTCTGGCACAGCTGTGAAGTCCCATTGGGCTGCCCATGCCCCAAATCAGAGCGCCTGGGCTCCTGTCCCAGTTCCGTTTCTCTGCTTCCAGCTAAGGG